CTATCGCAGTGTTGTATCAATCGGTTGACAGCAATGTCCGCATCACTCGAGTCACGCATTTGTTCGCAAATATTCACAAATATATGCAGTTTTGACAACACGTATGGATTCTGTAAGAAATGAATAAATGTTTTTTATTTAATTTTAAAGCATAAAATCTTTACAAACTTGTGATAAAATATAGCAATTTTGGTGGAAAGTGTCGACCAGTTGTCGATAACAGTGTCTATTATTGAGCTCTTGTTTCGTATGGAGTATAGAATTGGTTGCGATGTTTGGCATTAAGTGTTGAATACTATTCACGTATTCATCCAATTGTTTGTCAATCATATGCCTCTCATCTAATAGTCGTTGCAATTCGTGTGCATAACTTAAAAACAAAATTATAAAATATAAACTTTAAATTACAATAAATTAAATAAAACTTACCGTAACTTCTCGTTTACATTCCCTGCAGAGTCAACACGTTTTTGCGCTAAATATAGTTCACGATCTCTGATATGTACCCCATCTGTTGCCACATTATTTTGATATTCATACTTGATCTCATCGAATACATTTTCATCTACATTATCAGGACCTAGATACAAAAAATAAAATTTTAAAAATTAACATTAATAATTTTATTATCCCATAAATAGATTACCTAGAAACTGTGAGACAGGTAACTCCGTAATAGATAAATCCCCAAACTGTTGGGCGTGTTGCTGGTAATGGTATGTCTTATTACTGATGTATTGCGTAATATTCATGGCATAGGTGGCAATGTAATCAAACTGCTCCAGAAGTGTTTCCCTTTGTAGGTCCCGGTGCTCGCTGTTATACATCCATTGGTCTGTGAAATAGTCACCTGGTAAAATTAAAATAAATAATTTTTTCTAAATTAATCTACAGTAACTAACAATTATAGACTTGGAAACTAAGTTCGTATAAAATCGTTTATTCCTAAACTATAAAAAATAAAATTAATCTAAAAATATACTTTCTTTCTAATTTCAATGTCTTTCAGTTCTCCAATGGAAAGACACTTAACTGCAGGGGGCTGGTAGCTTTTTAGGTATGTGTTCTAGCACACAAACTATATGTCCTAGGTTGAATTTTGGTACACCGTTAGAAAGAGCGTTAAAAACTAGGGATACATGGTGTTGATGAATTTGTTCACAACATAATAGTTTTTGTACAGGGAGGCCGGGTATTTTGTCTAATTTGATATTTAAACAATTTTAAAAAATACAATTATAGGAATATTAAAAAGTTATGATATGGAAAATGTAGGGAATCTAATCCTCTACCAATTTGTAATTTATTAAAAAATTTTATTGACGGCACCGGGAGGAACGGTAGGTGTTTTATTATGACTCTACTAAGAATCATAGAGTAAATCTAATTAGTGCGTTGAATAGAGCTATAAAAATGATCAAGGAATACATTTAAAATTTTTCAAATATCTTATAAAATAACTGTCCTAGAGCACCTCAAAGTTTGCACTTTTACATTGAATATTGTCATTGAAAAGGGATTTGTATTACTTGATAATTGTCTACTTTTTCAATGACAATATTCAATGTAAAAGTGCAAACTTTGAGGTGCTCTAGGACAGTTATTTTATAAGATATTTGAAAAATTTTAAATGTATTCCTTGATCATTTTTATAGCTCTATTCAACGCACTAATTAGATTTACTCTATGATTCTTAGTAGAGTCATAATAAAACACCTACCGTTCCTCCCGGTGCCGTCAATAAAATTTTTTAATAAATTACAAATTGGTAGAGGATTAGATTCCCTACATTTTCCATATCATAACTTTTTAATATTCCTATAATTGTATTTTTTAAAATTGTTTAAATATCAAATTAGACAAAATACCCGGCCTCCCTGTACAAAAACTATTATGTTGTGAACAAATTCATCAACACCATGTATCCCTAGTTTTTAACGCTCTTTCTAACGGTGTACCAAAATTCAACCTAGGACATATAGTTTGTGTGCTAGAACACATACCTAAAAAGCTACCAGCCCCCTGCAGTTAAGTGTCTTTCCATTGGAGAACTGAAAGACATTGAAATTAGAAAGAAAGTATATTTTTAGATTAATTTTATTTTTTATAGTTTAGGAATAAACGATTTTATACGAACTTAGTTTCCAAGTCTATAATTGTTAGTTACTGTAGATTAATTTAGAAAAAATTATTTATTTTAATTTTACCAGGTGACTATTTCACAGACCAATGGATGTATAACAGCGAGCACCGGGACCTACAAAGGGAAACACTTCTGGAGCAGTTTGATTACATTGCCACCTATGCCATGAATATTACGCAATACATCAGTAATAAGACATACCATTACCAGCAACACGCCCAACAGTTTGGGGATTTATCTATTACGGAGTTACCTGTCTCACAGTTTCTAGGTAATCTATTTATGGGATAATAAAATTATTAATGTTAATTTTTAAAATTTTATTTTTTGTATCTAGGTCCTGATAATGTAGATGAAAATGTATTCGATGAGATCAAGTATGAATATCAAAATAATGTGGCAACAGATGGGGTACATATCAGAGATCGTGAACTATATTTAGCGCAAAAACGTGTTGACTCTGCAGGGAATGTAAACGAGAAGTTACGGTAAGTTTTATTTAATTTATTGTAATTTAAAGTTTATATTTTATAATTTTGTTTTTAAGTTATGCACACGAATTGCAACGACTATTAGATGAGAGGCATATGATTGACAAACAATTGGATGAATACGTGAATAGTATTCAACACTTAATGCCAAACATCGCAACCAATGCTATACTCCATACGAAACAAGAGCTCAATAATAGACACTGTTATCGACAACTGGTCGACACTTTCCACCAAAATTGCTATATTTTATCACAAGTTTGTAAAGA